CAAGTTATATATCAAACGTGAGTCGTACATTATAGTACTCGTGGGATACTTGCTTGCAGAAATGGGTTCTTTCTGCAGTCTGGTTTGAAATGTTCTAAGAACATTGTGAGAGTGTGCGCAACGGAGTGTGTGCAACGTCCGAGTTAGCAAGTTCGACCATCGTAGAGCTCATGATGCGCTTGTTCGCCTTGCCTGAGCCATCAAGGCCGTAATACTTGCTTATCACTCGCATAAGGCTAATTTTTCATTCTGCGTTTATAAATTGCAGGCCATTCTTGCAACAACTTGTTCGATTTGACCCATGTTAGACCCTGCATCGACACTTGCCTGGCTCACCATCTCATTGGCATTTTTCAGCTCTTGAATAATAGATGCGTGGGAGTGGCAGCCAGACTGAAACAATGTGAGCAATTTCCAGCGGATCTGACAATTCCTCCTTTGTTCTCCACTGCTTCAGCTTATCGTGTGTTCGAGGTACTTGTCTTTTACAGCTATTACGACTCGTTATTTACCTTTTTATTCTCTTCAACCTCCTCAATTTGTGATTTTTTTAGAGTTCTCGTATTTCTTTGAGCAAGCGGGCATCAGTGTATTTCAACCCTAGCGATATGAATTCATCGGAATTTATGGTACTCTTTCCTGAAGGCGATATTGTGCGGAGGTTTGCAGTGAGTTAACCTTTCATTTTCAGCCACTAATCCGCTAGAGAGGGACACAAGATGCAGATTAAGATGGCCATGAGAATTTTGCCTAAGTCTAGAGAGGTGGGAGAAGAACCTGCAAGCGGCTGCAGAAGCATATCTTGTGTCCCCCTTAGCAGATTAAAGCCTATATTGATTTGGATAGCTTTACGAATATGGGTGTATTTTCAGGTTCATGATCGCCTCAACATTCAGCTTCATTCAGATATATTGACAGATATCAATTACCTCAAACTGAAGGTAAGTATTGCTCATTCACTCTCAATGAATTGATCTAGTCTTCCATTTTCTAATTTATTACTGTTTGTATCTATGTAGTATTTGCATTCATCCTGTGTTACAGACGCAAGTACGCGCCGTACTTTTGGAACCTACTCGTTTAGCTATGGCTATAGAATCACCGGTGGAGGAGGAAAGGAGAAATCAGGTCATTTATCATGGGTTAACTTGGTTTTCTGAATTTATTTGTGGCTCTTTGAGCTTCTTGGTGCGGTAATGAGGGAGCGTTATTTTTTTGCGTCAAACGCTGAAAAGCAGCCAAGCGTTCTATCCCAGGATTAGACTGTTGACTGTTTGTAGAGGTTTGTAGATGTTTGTATGACTGTTCGGATATCTTGGCTATTCGGATGACCTCTGGTCCTGCATTCCAATCTACGTGTTAAGCAGCGTCCGGACGTTGCGACTGAGAAGATTTGGAGATTTAGGAGGCCCGGCGATTCGAGAGATTGTGCGGCGAGAAAAGTATAGTTATTGCTCCGGCGATGGGAGAGTTGGCGACCCGGCGTTTTGGAAGATTGATGCATGCGGCGATATGGGAGCACCAAGGGGCTAGAGGGTCGAACAGCGCCGGTCGCTGGCGATTGCGGAGATTCGGTGATGCCATGCCCGGTCGCCGGATTCCTTTGACGCGCAATCGCCCAAAACCTTGAGCCATTGAAACGCTGGATGGCTCAGTCGCAGAATCTCCACAATCCAACGTATGGCTTTATGAGCGCAGCAACGGTAGAGAGTCAAGGAGAGTCGGAGGTCCAGCCAGGAGCGCAGGCGATAAGTGTATAGGAGAACGCAGGCGACACAAAAAGAAACGTTGTGGCTTCCTCTTTACCCCTCCCCGGCTTGGTCGGGAAACAGCCAGATGCAACCCCGCCACGCTCGCAATTAAGGCCATGAATACCAGCCTCCCCCGTCCTTTCAATGCGGAGATATGAACTGTAGAACATATGGGACTCGCATAACTTGTATAATTGTGATTGTAACTCGGAGTTATTATGACCGTATCGCTATTGCTTGCCCTCTTCAACGACTGATGAAGAACGGACTGGCGCCGCACCGCGCCAAACGTTCCTGACAGTCAGGGCGTCCGCTGCGAAAACGAATGCATAGCGCGGAATTTCCGCAAGTGTCTTCGACGTCATGATGATTGAACAGTTTCAGACGCAGATGGAGCTTATGCAGGCAATTATGGCCGAACAAGAAGCAGCTCAAAAAGAACCTATGGTAAATATTAGCTTTCAATTAGAGACGAACATGTGTTATGCAGAAGTTTGAAGATAAATCGATAAAATTCAACTAATTCAAATTTATCAAATTTCAGCTAGATCTCATCTCTCATGAGGTGGTCGTTGAAAACACTCAGGAAAATGAACCGATTTTCTATGAAGATGCTGTAGATGATGCTCTTAACGCGACGATACACACGGTAATATATTTGCTCAGTGTTTTTCGGTGATAGACCTATTTATTGAAGAAAGGCGGTAGGTTTGTTCTGGCTACCCGATCTGATTCCGTACTATAGGTGATGGACAAAATCCGTAGTGACGAACCAGAGAAGAAAAAACGTGGCAGAAGAACGAATAGAGATCGATGGCTTGCTGAGTACCAGGCCTTGGAGCGAGACTTTGATGAGCGAGAGCAGGCCCAGGCTAGAAGAAGGCACTTACCAGCACGTAAGGCAAGGAATCTCGATGCTCTTTCTGGAGATCGGCCCGCAACACTTTCTTCTGGTGAGGACGACGAACCAGATATAGACGTGGTGGGCCCATCGTCTACCAGCGCTTGCGTGAGTTGGATTCATATTTTACAGTATGAATCTGCCTAGTCTAATGTGACACGCTATTTGTAGCATCTGGTTACCTGAGCTCTCAACACGCTAAATCGATTTAGAAACATGTTTTACAAAAACGAAACATTTGTAACAAGTCTGATCATTTAGTCCTTTGTCTTCACCCCTATCTCTACTTCGAAGCGGGCTGGCGCTGCGCTGGCCTCCCTGAAACACCCCAGCAACAATACTGTAATTGGTCTAAATTTTGCTTCCCTGTTTAAGCATCCGGTGGTCACAGAGTAAGTAGAGAGCAAATAGTCATGTTATTTTCCACCAGGCAGGGATTCATCAGTAACATCTTAGCGAGAGAAGAAGGAGAAAGTAGGGTACAATTTACCGCAGTGGAGCAATATTCAGCGCACATGTAGCACGGGTCCGCAAGCTGTCAGGAGGAAGAAGAGTAGTAGGAAGGAGAAGCACTGTCGCCATATGCATGTTAGATGACCAGGAAACCTGCATAGGCTGCAGTCATTGTCAGTGACGTCTCAAGAACATTTCATATGAGACGTCAGTGACACGTCGTATGCCTTCTAACTGCTAATATACTAGGCCCCATACCTATGCTGCATCAGTACCCTATATTCATAAGTGGATTTATTTATTTTAGATCGGTGATGTAGTCAGCCCTGCTGTCAGCGAAACGGGGCTGGGTGAAGTTGATGAGTGCATGAGTACGACTGCTGAAGTGGACAGCATGGAGTTTGAGACAGTAGCAGAGGTTTGTCATATCATCTCAACTTCAACTTGGTGATTCCACAGGCAAAGTTTTTTTCCCCTCAAATGACGCCGCGATAATCTTTTCCCGTGACTTTTTAAATCTTATTCTTATCTTATTCATATTTAGGCTGGAGTGATTGAGTAAATTTATACCTTTGATTATTTATTGTTTGTAATTGCTTTGAGGTGC